CTAATTTCTTACTTTCCATTCTTTTCTTTTTGGTGTATAATTGTCTTTTCAATTTTTTTTAAAAAATTTATTTCTTAAAAAAAGATATTTCTTTGTTATCAGAACCAAGGGTAGAAATGTAGTAGAGAATTAAATGAATTAAAGATCTATATTAGAACTTTTCAGTCCAGTAAATTTCAATGTAATGTTAAATTAGATGAGAATACATTTAGTCCAATAATATGCACATATTTTTGAATATAATTATTTTTGTATACTATTCCAATGTCTTTTCTATCTCTGTAGTTATTACCTTTCGAAAATTTTCGATTCAACTCAGTTCCTTTAAGTTGATGTTGGTAAATTTCTTCGTTATTTATTACTGCTTATCCAGTATGCAAAAACTCACAATATATTCATCTTAAATGCGAGATTCGATATTTTTCGAGCAAATAAAGCAACAATGAAAATTTCTTTCATGTATTCTGTTTTCTTGAAAAGAGATTTGTGGTACAATGAAGACAAAAATTCAAATAAATGAAATAGAAGAATAAATATATGCAATTTCTTCCTAAAAATACACTATTCTCTCAAATATTTCTCTATTATCTCGAATAATATGCATCAAAACGACTAGAGGATCCTAAGTCGTAGAATAAATACATATACAAATCACATTTTTGTTCGAATTGTATGCATCAGGTAAAATTCCGCAGACGAATAAGCATAGAATCGATATTCTACGCCGTGGAAAATAATTCGCGCCAAAATCGACTGCGTCAAACAGAGGAGGAAGGGTTCGTTCTGGATGTTAGAACTAGGAAGTCAGGAGGAGAAACTGAGGAATTTTTCAGTATCGTCTGCTTGAAAAGGGCTTTGAGGATAACATCGGACCTTGAAATAGCAGCTTGCCCAATAACATCTGTTCACTGTTGTCGTTATGGTAACCTCCGCCCACCACCGAGACTTCCGAACACACTACTGGACATGGATACGGTTAAAAGAACCGGACGATGAATGAATCGTAAAATAAATATCGCAATAATCAAATGGGTCCAAAGAACTTATAACATGAAAGTATGGTCGTTAAATTTATTCTTGGATGGACGGAAAATTGAAGTGAGACACTATAATGACAAAATTAGTGAGTGAATGATATATTTGCGTGACATAATCAAAATAGATGACAATATTTTATTATTTTTTTTCTCATTTATGAGGTAAAATAAGTCGTTTTTACTTCGAATGATGACTTTTTTCATTTGCATAATATTTGAATTGAAATCTGTTTACTATTTTATTAATAAGAGCAAAGGAAGTATGGAACTATAGAAAAAAAAAAAAACTTTTAGCACGATTTAGATAGAAGAAATGAGTTTATATGAATTAGAACAAATTCTTTTTGCTTATTAAAATATTTATATAATTTCATGGTGTATTATCACAAGTACTGAAATAAAGTATGGTTTGAAGCTTATTTAAGTTTGATCCGATTAATAAGTTTTGCAATCGATAAAACAATAATAAAAGAAAATATATACATAATTAAAAGTTAATTTAAAAATATTAGAAAACACAAATTTAAAAAATTCCTCCTTGCCTAAGTATTTAAATATGAGAACTTTTGTTTACTTATTTATAACAAATTTTATTTCTTCCACTCTTCATACGGGAAATTTTAATTAACTTATTATTATAACAAACTTTTATCAATAATGATAAAAAAAAATCATTCAAGCTTTTGAAAATTAGGCTTAACATAAAAGACGTTTTATATAATGTAAGGATTTTTAATCAAATAATAAAAGAAATACAAAATATTAAAAGTATAACAAATAACTACAATATCAAAATTATTTGGTGCCAAAACATGTTAGGAAAACGGCAAATTAAAAAAAAAATTCAAATGTCTCAAAACAAAAATGGCTGCTTTACAACTGTCTCAAAATTCTAATTTTAGCCTAATTTTCCTTCATGTGTTGTATATTTGAATATATATAATTAACAATCGACAGGTAATTATTTTCAAACGATTTCTGTTTAGTTCAATAATATTCAAAGCATCCAAAAATAAAAAAATTAAGTTCATTATTGCTAAAAGTAGGCATAAGTGGAATCAAAAATAAATGTTTTACTTTAAAATATTGGAGGATAAATGGATTTTAACAGTTTAAAGTTTAATAATTACTATTGGGGTTTTCATTCCAGTTTTTTTTATTGTTACTTTAAGATGGAAGTGATTTGAATTTTGAAAGAGATTTAATTTTATTCAAAACGCGTTGAATGAAAAAGAGGTTGGAATATAATAGTGTATTATCTATAAAAAGTTAACTTCTTAATATTCTTGTGATTAAAAAATAATTCTGAAAAATTTTATTTTACTAAAAAAGTACATTTTTGGATTTAGAAGAAAATTTTTATTTGTGCAAATTTTTCTTAGTAAGGAAATAATTTCCTTCTCTCAATTCATGATCAGCAACAAATTTACTCAGAAAGTTATTTTTTTTTTACTTTTACAATGAGCTAAAATATATGAAAGATAGTTAAAAGTTAGTTCCACCCATAAAATTGTCGCTACTCCACTATTGCCTGTTATCACTAACCGTAATCGTTCCAAATAGAAAAAGAATAACAATTCGTACGCGTACGACACCGCCAGTAAAAAGCAAAATTGATATATTTGATTTCTTGACAAAGAATTTCCCACTAAATTTTTAATACAATGTTCTTAAATAAGTAAATTTCTCAGAGCACCGGCCATGACAGGGCCACTTAAAACGGCTCGGTAGGCCGCAGGTTGAGTATCGTTGGTCTAGATTCTACGTCTAAAAGCACCCGGAATGAAGGGTACATACACGTCATAGCAAAGCAGATATAAGCAGTTCAAAACTGATTAAAAGGTACTAGAATCGGTTCAAAGAGCTTTCGAGTGATGTATTTCATACTTTAATGATCAAGTAATCGTTATTCTATAGAATACCTATAGTTAAATCGCATAATTCATTAATTTTATTTGCTTTAACTGATTTGTCCAGTTATTTCATGAAATGCCTGGTTATTTTATTAAATAACAGATTTCACACTTTAACGGTAACATTATAAAATATATTCTTTTAAGGTATCCGACTCCGTTCGGAACCGTGATTTTGCAAAAGCGTATAAATGGATAATATTTATGATATTTCGTGTCACTTAGATTAGAAAATGTATATAAAATTGTTTTAAGAATGGGGTATTACAATAAAAAATTATTTAAGTACAATATTTTGACAAAAAATGAACATAGAATGACCCATTTTCAAAATATTCTCCTTTTAGGAAAAATGCTTCTATTATAATAATATTTTACCTGTATATAGCTCACTCCTCTGTACAGAGGCTCAACTAGAAATTTGGAAATATATAACTTAGAAGTGGGTTTATCCATGTTTTACGACAACAGAGGACAGAAATTTTAAGAAAAAAACGCCGATAATTGTTTCAGTTGGTGGTAACTGAAAATAATGTGATTTTTTCAAAAATTCTAGTTCAGACTCTCTGGAGAAGTCTTTACTTTATATAAGCAAAATATTATTATTTTTGAAGCATTTTTTATAAATAGAGAACATTTTGAAAAAAGGTTAATTTTATAAAAAAGTTAATTTTTTGCCAAAATATTGTATTTAAATAATTGTTTTTGTCAAAATGTCCTTAAAACAATTTTATACATGTATTCTAATCTGAGTGACACTAAATATCACGAAAATTATCCATTTATACGATTTCTTAAAATCACGGTTCCGAACGTAGTCGAATACCTTAAGGGGCTTTTTTTGGATGGAGTTCCCCGAAAACAGTTTATAATTTTTAAGTGAGTTGACAAAATTTGGAGACCACTGCTTCATACAAAGAAACAGCTGTTGATTGTTGTAAATAAACCTTCGAAAAGAAAAAAGAAATTCTTCCAAATATCAAAGGCCCCAACGGGAATGATATATTTTTAACTCACAAAACTTGAGTTAGATTCAGAAGAAAAAAAAAGTAAAGGAAATATTTTCATGAAGATCAAACATTTTCTTTGCAAATTAAAAAAAAATAAGAACACTGAGTGATGGCTTCAGGTAAACAAACAACACGGCTGAAAACTCAGCTCGATCGATTGAGCAAATAAAAATTCAATAGGGTGCAAAATTCATTTCGGATACAGTAACGGACGGATTACTCAAGAAAAATCGATTGATTTTTCCTTTAGAAAGACGCAGCCCGCTTCTGGGACCGAATTTATTGATTTTTAGTAGTTAGCGACTTCGCGGCATTTCGTGCGAAAAAGAAAACTCCACATATGCCTGTAGAATACGACTCTTGTAAACGGAAGACGAGACTAAAATTTGGAAATTACTTCTTGTTAAATATATGACGTTCAAGACTTTGGTATTGATGGGATGGCATTGTTTCAATTGATGCTTGTAAAATCGCTAACTTTAAATTCAAGTACTATTAAATTCTTATAATAAAAACATTTTCAAAATTTTTTTGCTAGTATACTTTTTTAGACTAAAACACATTTTTCAGCTATTTTTTTTATAAATGTTTTTTTAAGTATAACAAGTATTTTATAACGAATATAAATTTGAATTAAATTTTTATACTAAAAAACATTTATTATCCAGAAAACATTTTGCCTTGTAAGTGCCTTTCAATTCCTACAATTAGCTCACTCTCTCCATATATATATATATATATATATATATATATATATATATATATTATATATATATATATATATATATTATATATATGTATATATATATATATATATTATATAATATATATCTTGTTCAAATTTTCAATCGTTAACAAAATGTTTTCTATTCATCCATTCAAATTCAAATACATTTATTAAAATTTGTAGGGAATGATACTTGGTGATAATACAGTTTTTTTCAAATATTAATTCCTGAATTAAAATAAAAAATGAATAAGTAGTAACAAACAAAAATAATAGTCCAACAGCATATATAGAAAGAAAAATCATTCATTGTGTCCTTGCAGTGCAACATATAGCGCGTTGGACTTTTAATCGAAAGGTCGTGGGTTCGAATCCCACCTGGGATGGCCTAATTCTTGAGATTGCGATTCTTTTTTACTATCCTATTTTATTAGAATTAAATTTAATTAATGAATAAACAGTAACCCAACAAACAAAAAAAAATAGTTCAACACCATATATAGACAAGAACATAGAAAATAGCTTTTTATTTTGTCATTTAATATTGTGATTTTGTCGTATGTATATACATATTTATTTTTTATTAAATAGTTACAATTAATATAACTAAAATAAAATTGTTCTTTCTTGTCCTAAGTAGGAATTGACTTAACTTTTTTTTATGTTACTTGTTTTTATTTAAGAGATACTTTTGGATGTTTAGTTTAAGGGTACCAGGACATGTTCGAAAGAGTAAAATGCCAAAATTAAGACTCTGCGTTTATGGGTGATATATCTTTAAAAATTTCCAATAGAGCTTAGATTCTTTTTGTGTGTTCTTAAATAAAGATATTTTAATCATTCTGTAGAAATACAAAAGTAATTTTTTAGTTCAAGTTTTTTTTCCTGTTTAGTTTAATTTGGACGTTTTTCAAGATCTCAAATGTTTAGGTACCATTTTTAACAAAGTATCACTTAAATATGTAAAATATTTTTTTGTACATGTGTAAAAAAATACACAAAATATAGTTTACCTATTTTTTAAGTAAAATATTTGTATAATTTCTTTAAAAAAATTATAAAACTTAATAATTTTGAAAATTTTTACTCCCCCCCTTTTTTTATACATAAAAACAGTTTTTAAAACTACGTATTCCTTAGACTATATAAAAATAAATTAGATTCACTATATGCACAGTATCCTGTATAGAAATATAAAAAATTGGGAACCCCATAGTGCAAAAGTTTTATTAAAAGTCTACCTAAATGCAAAAAATTGTGCTTTGGAGAAAAAGTGATAAAACTAAAAGTAGCAATGTTTTCACTTATTGCATAATTGATTAATATTTTCATGTTTACTTTTATGCACTTCATTGATATTTTGAACATACTCTAGAATTACAAAAGTAATTTTAAATTTAAAAGTTTTTTTCCCTTTGTTATAGCTTAACATGAACATAATTTTATCAAACACATTTTCATTTATAGTTTTATTTTCAGTCTGAAGCAGTGCTTCTCAAACTTTCAATATTTATGACCCAATATTCAATGATAATTTTCTTCACGCCCCTACAATAACAATATATTGTATTCAGTAATAATGTACTTTGACGCTAAAAGCTACACTACAACTTTAACCTCTTAAGTGCCACCGGCGTATATAAACGTTTCACTCAGCCAAAGCATTATTTGCCCCGGACGTATATATACGTCTTTCCTAAGTATGATCTTCTATGTACACTGAAAATTATTTTGAAGACTTTGGAATGTAATAAAAGGACATTGACAATGTTTGCGAAGGATTTACTTATGTCATAGAAAGAAGGTTTTACTTATTTCTTTTCATCCCCAATACATTACGTGCCTACGTGGAAAACGGTGACTTTGGGGAGCGAATCACGTAACTTTTAATAGACAGTTAAGGGATTAACTATAAACCATGCAATTATCAAGATAAGAGTTAATTTTTGTAAAAATTTTATATATAATCAGCCCATGGGGTCACTGGTAATTATTAAACTTTTTCTTAACTTAGTATTGTTAAATTAATTATCAAATACATTGTGCAGTACTGATACATTTATAAGTGTATTATATTAGTGCAAATGTGTTTATATTTTATTATGCCAGAATGTATTTTGTTTATTTACTTTCAGTAAATTAATAATTTTTTAAAATAATCTTTTGTTTTCGAGTTTTCAATATGCTCGCTCTCCCGTCGTAGAGTTATCGTGCCTCTCTAGGGAGCGTACCCCACAGTTTAAGAAACGCTGGTATAAAGTCATCTAAGCCAAATTAAGTCTCTTTTTCCATTTTTTTCAGAATTCAGCCTGTTTGTGGCAATATTAAAATTTTAAATTATTTTTTAACACTTCATCTACCGACGGTACTTATATAAGTACCACTCACTTTAAAATTACAAAGAATAATCATTTTTACGAATATTATGACGATACTTATCAGGAATATTCTTTGAAATCCTCTTCCAAAATATATGGCAGCATGGGCTCTATGATGTGTATTTTAACGGGGAAAGCGAATAGTTTTATAGCAGAAATTGCGTTTTCAGCGGATTGCAAAGATTGTCATTTTTGTCCCGAAAAAATAATTTATGTCAAAATTTAAGTGTCTTATTTTTTTGTACGTTAAACGTTAATGAAGACCGTAGAAAACGATTTGATTATTTATTTTAAGTGAACAGTGTGTATAATTAATTTTACAGTTGAATATCTTTAATTAATTAGCTCTAACGGATTAAATTTCCCAAAGTTGAGTGTTTTGTTTATGTATATCCCTTAATTTTCAATGCAGTGATTAAAAAAAATATTGCATGAAAAAACTGCAGTAAATCTTAATGCGGTAGATAAAAGGTTAAAATTATTTTCTCTGGTTTCTATACAATATAGCAGTGATCCGCAACCCCCGGGTCCTGGGATCAAATGTGGTGCTGGGCCACCTAAAGACCATTGAACTATTGCCATTTTATTTAAAGTGGAACATTTTTCTCGGATTTCAGCAACTTTCCACGGAAATAACTTTTTTCATTTTTGGTGTAACTATATTTTATTCTGAAGGCATATTTAAATGTAACTAAATTAAAATTATTAAATCAAAAAATCTAAAATCTAAACAATCAACATGTCCCACCCTCAGCGGGCCGCGGTAAAATTATCAAACGTTGACTGGTCCGCAGTGATAAAAAGGTTGCAGAGCATTGCAATATAGCATCTTTTCTGCATAAGTAGGTTTGTAATATAATAGCATATAATAGTTTTTTTCCTCCCTATAGCCGTGGCCCAACCTATTGTCCACGTTCCTCTTCATTATTTTTATGGTAAAAGATAAAATATTTTATGTGTAAGCATTTTTCTTCTTTGTAAAAGATTTCCCTAGATATAAATATCCAATCTTACCTGAAGCATTCAACATGTACTTACCTATTCAAGCGTTCCAGCAAAAGTGCTGTACTTAAAACATGAGACCAAAACATCCCAGTAAGAGTTATTCTTGCACGAACCGTATTGACAAATAAGATGTTTATTTCTTAACAACGAAAGAGTTTTCCTTTCTACTTTGACGAAAATAAGGATGTACATAAATACCGTCTAAGTAAATTACAGCCCTTCAACTCAATCGGTACTTTTTCTCAATAGAGAAAAGATGAATTTGGAATAGGAGCCCCCGTTATGTTATGGAGTAACCATGGTGATAAAGATTTCAGTTTCCATAGAAACCACATTTCGTGCATCATCCTTTGTATCACGCGCTGTGATGCTGATGAGATTAATCTTGCGGTAGAGAATTTATTAGGTATAAGCATTTTCTTTAGCATTTCTCATTTTTTTTCTCATGTCAACATCAGAGAACTTTTGTGATTTGTTTTGACAAAAATGGCGGATTTCTATAATTAGATGAAACGCCAGAATTGATTTTTTTTTCATCTGCTGCAACGTTGGTATGTTAGATGATTCAGGAAGAAAAATTGAATGTTTTTGATCTCAGCAGTTTGTAATAGTATTAAAATAGCTTTGTTGTTGAGGAAAATTAATCTTGAGCAACATGATGTCCTTTAGCACGCTCATAATAACACTTGATTGATTAAAGTTGGTTGAAATATGTCTTTTGGGTGAGAAATCTCTGGATTAATTTTTCAATGTTTGGCAGAAATCTAGTGGTTATTTATGGAAAAAATTTCAAATACAAAGAACTTTCAGATGATTCTTAGTTGATTAGAAGTAACATCTTTCTAGAGCTCTATACTAGGGAGTGTTTATTAGCGCAGGGCCGTTTTTAACCTTCCTGACGCTCTAAGCCCTTTTTAAATAGTTACGCCCCCAACTATTTTCAGAGTGCCCCTCTTTTTATTTTTACCGTGCCAGTTTGGGTTCGAGAGAGATTTTCCCTTAACTCTTACTCTATGGATAGTGCTGTATTCTCATGCATACATATTTATTTCTGTGCTATAATCTTTTTTGCTCTATTCGCCGTGTCCAAGACTCGAAACCTGCAGTATAAGGATAGTGCCATGGTTTGACCACTCTTGTTCATTTTTTACCTTACGGCATCACGGAAATCCCACTCTGTTGTGAATTAGTGCAGTAAATTTATGAAATCACTTGCAATTATACTATAGAGTATACATTATTGCATGAACTGCTATCAACTTGTTAATTATCCTCGCTTATCGCTTTACTATCTGTTACTTTTAAATACCCTTATTCTTTGTTGAGTCACTGTCATTGTACCTGTACAAATACAGGTTTTCTTCGAGTTTTGATCACTGCAAAATCGTTAATGACATTGTTGTAATCAATTAACAATGTGATATCGTTTTGAGTGCATACAACATCGAACTGTTGAGCTTTTTATTTTCCATAGTGGATGTTTCCCATAGTTCCGCTCACATACACACACAAACACAACGCATACATGATTCGTTAGGTGGTGGTTCATTCACTGTAATTTTAAATTTTGTTCTTTTTTCGCCCTCCATATTTTTGCGCCCCCTAATCTTTTGCACCCTAGGCGCGTGCCTTAAGTGCCACTATAAGCAAAAAAGGGGCTGTATTGAATTTATCACCTAACAAAAACAACAAAAGGGCTATATTAGTGACAGACTTCGCAATTCTGAACCACGATTAAGTGACGAGGATGAATTTCCTAATGTACCGTCTCCTCCACATATCATACCTTCAAAGTGAAGACATTGAGCCACGATAGATTTGAGGTACATCTGTATACCTACAGAGTGGAGCTTCAGGGGGAATAGGGCTTGAAATGACACGCTGGCCATGAGTTCGTGACCATAACTACTAGGTTACTCGGTTTCATGATCAAGTAACGAAGACAACACCTGAGCTAGCATCCTTCTCTCCGAACTACCATACAATGTCAACGGGAGAACTTT